GTAAAATAAATTGAGTAAACTGAATGGCTTAAAGTATTGACAATACATAATCTTAAGCTAATACATGAAAATCCAAGTCTATAAAAGTATCCGCTGTATAAATGACGTGAATTTTATTCTAATTACTTGTATTAATTATTTGTCCATTCATAATATTCACTGATGAAATTCAGAATTTCAATAATTCTTAAATTATGATAGTACCAATAATAAATAATAAGTAATGACAGCTAATATCTTTCAAATATTGTCACTATATATATATGGCGGCGAGGAAGGGATAAACAAGGATTTCGGAAATTGCTGTTACTGAAAATATAATAAAAATACGACATAAATGAATGTCATAATATACGAAAACTAAATTACGAGAATTACAAAACTTTTTACATATTACGATTAATAATTGTTATTGTTGTTATAAAATATTATTTGGAAATGTTTATTTTATACTCATCTGTGTCTTATCAAAATATAACCTACTTCTTGTATTGATAATATAATGCTAAATTTTTTTCAATCCCTCTCGTCACTGTTTAATCAGAAAAATTATTCAAAAATAAATGCGTTCATATTTCAAAGTGACTTTTTTCCTGTTCCTGTTTTTGTTTTTGTTAAAAGTATTAAGTTTTGAAGATCTGCTCTATATTAATTAAAATATTCACGAATAAAAGAAAAAAACAAGAAATACGTATTGCCTAGTCCGGCATGCATGATTTTGACGTTTAAAAGTAAAACGTACATAGGAGAGATAGTGAAATGGAGAAATGAAAATAAATGGAGATTGAAAACATTCGAATGTTCATTAAAGTTATTCTAATCGAGTGCTTTGGCGAATGACTCCTGTAAAAACTGAAAAAATCCTTTCATAATTAAAAAGTAACAGACATGTATTTAAATCATACATTAATAAAATATCAGATGTTAGCGAGGTAAAATTTTATTTTATCGACAAAAATAATTTATATTGCACAAAAGCTGTTTTTTTATTTTTATTTTTCATCTTTAGTACGGTTATATTATTTTTACTGTTGAAAAGGGTATCTGTTTTGAAAGATCTTGTAGTCATGCGAATTTAGCATAGTCGACGGTGTGCTTCTGCAATTGCTGATGCAAGTTTTTATCGTACACGATTGAAGAAGTAAAATAGTGAAATTTATATTTTGCTGTCTCCTAGGCCATTCCCATCACTCTAAACACCTAAACCCTAACCTTTTCGTTTCCTCACTCTTTACTCTTTAAATTTGCATTCTAATCGTTTCTCCGTTTTACTAGCTCTTAGGTAATTAAATGTTCGCCGTTTCGACAAATTTTTTAATCATCAACCCAAGAGCATTTGAAAGTGTTTGAAAACCAGGAATAAACAATCAACATTTGTGTTTTAGCCATTCTTTAAAATTAGATACGTCTATAGTAAAAAAAAATGTGTTACAGTACTTTCATTGCCACCGATCGTTATATCGAAGCATCGCAAAGTGCTCGTCAGTGCTTTTAAACTCGTAGACGAAGAACAAACCTATTATAATGTGTGTGTGGGGTTGAATAGGCGAATACAACTGCGCACTTTTGTCCCCTGATACCTTATGTAAGTGCATTCGACGAATACTCTCTATTAAGCTTTACAAGCAAAATTTTATCGGTCTGTAGTTCTTCTTTTGTATCAGCAAGCGATTTTGCAAATACTACTTGTTCGGCCACTTATCATTGCTATTATTATTATTATTATTATTATTATTATTATTATTATTATTATTATTATTATTATTACATGTCTATTTTATTCTAGTTTTGTTCGTGTTAGCTTGGTAGGTAAAGCAGCTTTATACTCTTGGGTGTCCCAAAGGGATTAATTTATTTAATCGTGCAGGTGTGCGTGCGTGCATACGCAAGATGAAGAATAGGGTGGTAATTTTTTTTTGTCTTTTTTTTATTTCGATCTGAAAAAAGTTCAATTTGAATTTAATCATTTATTTATTATATGCCGCTGTATTGTGTTCCCTTCCTTCTCTTTCTCTCCCACTCTGTTCTACTTTCTTCTTTTTTTTTGTCGTATGCAAACTTTTTCCACGTTTCCCTTTCTGTGCTCGTCCCTTTTATCGCGTTTGTTCCTTCCTCCTATTCGTTACTATCTATAGGGTGTCTTGATTATAATTCATAGACTATATTAAAATACGAACATTAACAGAATTTATGCGATATAGAATATATTGGATCATTTAATATTACAGAATTATTTATAACCTTAAGTAGTTAGTCGTTAAATAGATCGTTCGAGTAATTTTGGACAATTTGAAATATACTTTTCGTAAATTAGATACAATACTTTGATATAAAATTTTATATTAAAATTTATATCTACGAGTTAATTAATCACGATTAGCAATTAAAAGAAAGTATGTTGCTAAGTTCTTATTCAATTACGTACAAATTGATGTGGATCTATAAATTCTTAAAAAGACTTTACTATCATTACAAGCAAGTGTCATATAAATTTTTATTTATTTATAACTCTACCAATATTAGTACTCTAATAGTATTTTCATTCAATAAAACATGAACATTTATCGATATGAGTAAACAAAAATACTCACGTTCAAGATATTTCCTTGCGCGCTATTTAGATAGCGTCAATTAAATTTCATAAAAAATTAACTTAAAAAAATTAAACGACGATACTTTATTTCAATAATAACTTCAATCGTTTTTATAGGCAAATAGAATAATAGTGACTTACCGCGGCTGCAATTGAATAATACTCTACATTTGTCATTTATAGCATAAAATACTTTTCAATTGACGTTAAAAGTAATGCTAAAATGTTAGCCAGCCCATTCAACAAGATAGCGTACGAAAATTTCACGAGTACATAAATTATGCAAAATCGTATAAATTTTGTTCTACGATTGAGATAAATTCAAATAGTGTTAATAATTACAAGATTTAACGCGCGAGGGCTTGAACTTTAATTTACTATATTTATAAATTTCTCTATAAAAACCTGAGGGAGCTACGCCCTGAGCGTTCATATATATATATATATATATATATATATATATCGTGAGCTTTAACCATGTACAATGATAGCTTGTACTGACGCAGCTGCATGTGTACATTATGCAATAAATTCTCGTTCACCGATGCATATTTCCCTCTTTTCGCGCACACTGTATTACAGCCCTTTAAACTACAGCTCCAGGATGGAAAAAGTCCTGCGACAGCAGAAATATTTTTTGCTAACCAACACCATCAACAACGCTGATAAATATACACGCAGGTACCTTAGCCTCGCTTACCTACACACCGGCGCTAAAATTTCTTCCAGCACGTGCACGCTAAAGTGTAAAAATGTGATCAAACGGACCCGAGTGCATTAAGACGGATTAACTAAGTTGCGTTAACGCAGAGATGAATACACGAATTCGTAAGCATTTTATGAATTAAGTGCGGCTTAAGTGACGGAGTGATGCTAACAGTTTATTATAATGTTTTTGATACACCGTAGACGCGTGTAAAGATGGTCTCGCGCAAAGAATCTCTCGAAGCTATTTTTGTTATATCATTGTATGGACTGCTAAGGTACTCAAGAGATCGTTCCTGTACTCGAATTGTTTAGCGATTAGAACTTTTATAATCCATAAAATGAGAATAATTTATTTCGTAAATAAAAAAAAAAAAAAAAAAATCTTTTACAAGAACTTTTTTTATTAGGACCCAAGGCGTAAAAAATATTTTTTTTTAGTGCCTTATAAAATGATAGCGTCTAGAGTAAATGGCCGAGTACATGAAATTTGACACATAATTTGTTGTGAGGCAGCAAGGTGAAGAAAACGTACGTTATCTAGTTAGCTGTGGAAAACTGTGGGCATATGTGTTTAAAAAAAAAAACGGCACGACACAAAAGAGTCATTATAATTTAAAAAATTTTATACAATATATACGATTATTTATTACAAGAATTCCCTGTAATACGCTATATTACTAGATACAATGGGATATTATATTCTGATAAGTATTTCAATCTTAAGAATGACTGCATCTTTCAATTAAATGGTATTGTTTTAGAAAATAAAGCGAATTTTTAGTTTTGACGAATAATTCATGATTGTGAATTCTAATGAAGTTAAGGCTCACCGCGAATAAAAGGCACCCAAAAGTCACGAAAACAATTTTCATTAAAGCATTTTAAATTAAATCTATAAAAAGGAATGACTAATCACTAAAGGGGCGAGAGGGAGGGAGGTATACAAGACAACGAATGGAAAGATGAAAAGCGAATCTCATAAAACGACAACGTTACTTTGTCATACATTATAAATATGTAATTATTCGCATTAAGAAATATGAAGTAATTACTTTTGCTTCCATGTTATTTTCAGTTTCTCCTAAGAGACTTTTTCTTGTTCTGCTTTGTACATTTTAAACAGCGAGTCGCGTAATTAATCGTTTTAATAAACACTTCATTATCAGACGCTCTATGAATAATTTATGTTCTCGAAGCGAGTCTTATTAAAATGTCTCTTACAAGTTTGTTATAAGGCTTGGGCAAACAAAGCGATTCGCTAAATCGAGAATAATTGGATTGTTAGTTAAGGCAGAGACTAACCGTTTGAGCGCCAGACTCTTATAATCGAGCGGGCAATTTTTCAACTTAGCGTGTGGCCAAAGAAAGGCGGAGATTAAGCTTTCTTGGGTATTCCGGGCCCGTTAGCGCCAATGCCCAGGCGCCGATAAAGCGCGGCGTCTAATGCTCGCGTAAAAACGTTTTCACTAGGGTGCATTCCGCCAATGGTTTTATTTTAGCGCGACTCGACAGCTTCTCGAAATTCCCCAACATTCTAACCCCCCCCCCCTCAAACCCCCTCCACCCCCTC